AGGGCTGCCGCCTCCTCGGTAGCGCCTCGCTGGGACTCCTGGCTCTGCAGGGAGACGTGCCTCAGTGCTGCACATGCAAGGGGCGCTGAGCTGAACTGAAAAGGCAGAGGGGAGTTACAATGCCCCTCAACTGGGACAGTGATGGGGCGGATGCCCCCCCTGGGGGTAGCCACAGCTTCCGGGGATAAAGCCCCGGAGAACCTGAGACAGAGAAACTGGCCAGAGAGGCGTCTCGCCCCCTGCGCCTGCAATGCCAGTAAGAGACAGGCAGCAGAGAGAAACAATTAACAAAATAACATATAATTAAGTAGAGACCTATTTTCATTTCTAGTGGGTCTCTCGCAGTCTCAGCACAGCAAGACACAACACGCTCTGTCCCCACGACACACACTCCCTCGTACAGTGCAGAAGGTACACAGACGTGCACAAGCCCCGTGGTATTTGGGTTGCACAAAGAGAAAATTAAGCAGCCTCTTTGTCTGCACTCAGTACTTGCAGCAGAAAATTCCTCCCTGGTGCTGTCACTGGATCAGCTGAACTGATGTTACTTTGCAGGAGGAGGGAATATCCTACGGCTTCCGGCCCGCTGTACTTGCCAGGGCAATAAGGGCTGGATTTGCAAAGCAGGCCTTGGAGGCCAGCTCCTGAAGAGCTTGAACAAACTGCACGATGAAGCTTCAGCTCTTCAAGATAGCAAAGCCCCCTGATGAAGGTTCAGACCAACAGTTGTCTTCCTCTGCTCCTGGGAAAGGCCATACTCCAGTTTCAGCTGTGAACTGTGCAAAGTTCAGAGAAGCTGGCAACTAGGAGCAGGGCTTCCCATGCATTGCTGCTAGAGAGCGTGAAAGACTGTTGGCAAAGTAGAAGCCTTCCTTGTGCCTGCTTAAAGAAAAAATGATTTCTCACTGCATTCCTTTCTCACTGCATTTGGTTGAATGACCAAATTCCTATAACAATAATAGTAAAATAACAGTAGTAATAGTAAAAAATACAAAGCAAAATGTTCCTAGAGAGTGGAAGTCTCTTTTCTATACAAACAATATTGTTCATTCATCCCTATCTGTCAGTTCCAAAAAAATACTATTTAAACCCACCAAAATATGAACAGCATTGTGATGTCACAGAATGTTTAAAAACACCAGGATATTGAAAAAGTCCGCAGATTTAGTCATAGCCAACTCTAAAGTGTAGTTTTTCCTCTTTGCACTTACCTTGCTTTTACAATATAGCCAATTAGAACAGACTAGGGGCTTTCTGAGGGAATTTAGTGAATATTTAAAAGACACCTAGTAACATATTGTTCAACAACCTGACTGCATTATGACACGTATCGGTATGTTTGTTCCCAGTTTAGGAGAACTTACTCCTCTGCCACAAAAAAAATCCTTAAAAAGCGTAGAGTATCATGGCTGGGAATTCACTGAGGTAGCTCTTCTGGCTTTGGGGAAAACAAATGCCTTGTGAAATTAAACAAACAGTATCCTGTCTGGATAATTTGGGAGTGGTACTGATAGGCTCTTAAAGAATTACTGTGCGGCTCCATTTTTCTAAAAGAATGTTAGCCATGACATGGGAGCCTCTGGGATACGTGAGAAAGTATGAGATATGGGGAGAAAGAAAGGAACTCAAAGTTTTTTAAAAAAAAATACCTGGAGGATGTGATCAGGTCCACAGAAAAGCAAAATCTTGAGGTTCCACTTACATGAAAACATCCAATTAATAAACCTTGTTTGTATCAAGATGACCCTGTATCCATGGGGCTGAACTGGCTGGTGGTGATTTTTTTCCCCACCCCTCAGAGAGGGAATGTGAAAAGTACAGACACGTGTAAACATGTTTGCTATACCTTTCATTAACGATTTCAATTGCTTGGAAATTTCTGTTCCAGCTGGCTAAGAAAGATAGGCTTGGAAATCAAGTAGCTTGTATAGTCTTTCCCCTCTTTAATTGATATGTGAAGAAAGACTGTATACATATTATTTTTGCATACTGAAGAAATAAGGCAGCACAAACTTAGCTTTTCTGACATAATACCAATTCTGTAATGTTACTTGTTACACCTTTTTTTGTTTTTCACCACAGTGGCTATCTCATCTTTCTCACTGACAAATAGTGCAGGAACTCCCTAGCAGCATTTTTTTTACTTGCTTCTGGGGAGTACCTACTGCACTCATTTTGAATTCTGTTAATTTAATCAGGCTCTTCAGAAAATCAAGACAGCCAACATAAAGAACCAGAGAAGGATATACTGGTTTTGAAATTCACTCCTCCTCCTATGAGTAGGTGATGTTGCACTTCAGGCTCACTGACAATAGCTATCATTTCCCAGAACAAGGCTGGGACCCGTTTATACCATGATGTTTCCGTCATGGCATATATCCCTTGACACAGGCAGGAATTTGCCTTGAGAAAAGCCTGCTTTTTTTGTGCATGGATTGGGCTGGTCAAAGGGAGTTAACACTGTTGATTCTGGTAACAGACAAAAGGGTAGGTAGATATATCTGGAAAAACTTCAAACATACCCTTGGAGTTTCTTTTCCTTTATTTTTTTCTTCCTTTTTTTTTTTTTTTTAAGGAATATGCAGGAAATGACACCTAGCTTTATACTCCAACTGGTTTTGCCAGTTTTATGAAAACACGCCTCTTAAAAGATGATTAAGGATTCAAATTAGGTCAGTCAGAATGAACTCATAACCCTGTAATTTGAAAAGTGGAGTGTTCCCTCATAGGGAGGCAAATATAAATAAAATATGAACTATTTTCTCAAAGGTCTCTGAAACCTCTGAAGCCCTTGTAAAACTGGAAGTTCATTTTGGACAAAGGGAGCAGCAACGTCAGTGTGCCGTATCATTAAAAAAAATAGAAAATTGGAAACACTTGTATTCATCTGGAAAACAGATAAAACAATAGGTACTGGTGAAATTAGGCAGGTTTTACCACTACAGTTAGTGTATTTTATCCTGTAAGGATCTCTGAGAGCTTTGCACTAAGGGAGCTGAGGGACAATATTTCTGAGAGAAGTGTATAAATGGCAAAGTTTCCCTGAGGGAACTGGTCATACACAAAGGCAAGAGAAGGCCCTGAAATAGAAGGCAGGAATCCTGATGGTCAGTTCTCTGCACAGCTCAGTAGGCAGCAAATGAGTACAGAAATACCCCTGAACATACCAGTCGTGCTTAATAAATACATGCTGTAACTGTAAAAGGCTTTCTGTAACATTTCTAAAGTAATGGTGAAGAGCATTTTAGCTTTTATAGTTAAGAACTATGGGATGACTTGTTGGAAAATAAAGCTTTAAATTATGCTAAAATTTTAATAATTTTCCTCATCAGAACTAATACGTTTCTGTCCGGTTTGTCATTCAAGAAATTTGTGAACTCCTTAAGGGTAAAGTATTTATAGTACAGTCTTCTGCACCTGCCCTGATCTATAATCCAAGGGTCTACTCAGATACCACACCAAATGCTAAGAAGCTCATGACCTAACTCATGGCCTAAGATCTTAAAATAGCTCTGAGAAGGTGGGGAGTTTTTTATTCTTTTTTTTGCAAGACTCCTTTCACCCTAATTACACTACTGTTATTCACTACTTTTCAGCTGAGCAAACATGTCTCCCAAGGTTTTGTGTTGTGTTTCCTTTTAAAATCAGATTTGCTTTAGCTGGTAGTTATGAATTACTCATGTAATTCTCTGACAAAATAAACAAAAAACAAGTAATGGAAAGACCAAAAAAAAAAAAAAATCATTCTTGGTAAGATGCTTTCCCACATCCTTCTTTTTATATCTTTGGAGAGGTTTAGGCCAAAAAAGATAAATAGATTATTTAAAACTGTTTGCTTGTATTTATACAATGGTTGGATTTATGTTCTACTGAGTGAAGTCTCTATTAAAATCACTTACTTGACTACAGTAATCTGGTGTTTAAAAAAAAAAAAAGTCTTGCAAAAACCCCACCCAGTCCACTTTGATTTAAAGCATGCTATTGTGAAAAAGAAAAAGAATGGTGAAGAAGACAAGTAACAGAAAAGGGCAAGTAATATGTAATGTGGGGGAAAGAAAAACAAGAAAGACTGAAATCGTGTACCCAGCACCAAACTGAAAAGAACTGTGAATGAACAAAGCCAAAAGGAAGTGACTCTCCTGGTGAGAGAGCCCAGTCATAGCCTTACACTGCGACAGAAATTGCATTAAATTTCAAGGATCTCCTCTGATTTACACTATGCCAAATGATACCAGACCCAGTTCTACTGAATACAAGGTGAGAAAAGTTTTA